CGTTCCAAAAGAACGATAAAAGGATCGTTCCAAACGATCCGAAATTTCGGATTAATCCGAAATTTTCGGTTCGGTTCGGATTTTTACCGGTTTACGGTTCGGTTCGGTTTCGGATTGGCATTTTTAGGATTTATAATCCGAACCGAACCGAACCGAAATTTTCGGATCGGTTTCGGATTGGCCTATAATCCGGACCGAACCGAACCGTTCGGAGCATTAATTTTTTTTAACAAAATGATCTGATTCATTATTCTAGTGAAGATTGACTAAAATTTTTTTTTTAATTTATTAATTTTTCATATTTTATCTGTATTTAATAATATCATAATGAAAATAAACTGATTAATTTTTTTAATTTATTTTTTTTCTTATTTAAATAAGTAATTCTAATTACTAATTTATTTTATTTATTTATATGATTGTTTATTTTATTTTTTTTTAGAAAACTTTAGATTAAATCAAATCAAATCTCAAAGAAATTTTAATCTTTAGCAAAAACAAGTAACTAAAATAATTTTTAATGCATTTTATTATTAATTCTTATTATTATTTGATTGATTTTATTTTTTTAGACTATCAGTTTATCCTTTCAAATAGAATTATCAGTTGAAATAGGATTTTATTATTGCAGCATAAGTTTTTAACAAATTTTTTGATTTTATTAATATTTATTATTACTTTAAATATTAGTAATCTAATTATTATAATAATAATCATTATTTTTTATTTTAATTTTTTTACATATTATAATAAAAATTAAATCTATCCCAATTTTTTTTTAAAAAAATCAATATTAAATTGAAATTGAAATTGATAATGATATTGATATTGATATTATCAATATTGAATATAAAAATGGCTTTTATAGTTATTATATAAAGCTTATTCAAATTTATATCAATATATTTATTTTTGGAAATAGTCATAGTTAATACTATATAAAGTAAAATCACTTGATACTAACAATTATATGATATGAAATGTATTTAGTAAAGCTCTGTATAAGCTAATTTAGCTTAGCTTTTCACTAGTTTAACTTGATTTAACTCAGAAAAATCAATTAATAATCTAAGTCAAATTAAGCTAACTTATATGCTAGTTCATTTAGTTTACTTTTTTAAAATAAGAGAAATGTTTCCTATTAGAAAAAATGTTACTGAAATGATCTCTTTAAAAAAAATATTTTTGAAATGATTTCTTTGTGATAAACATTACTAAAATAATTCTCTTTGAGAGAAATATTTCTGGAATAATTCTCTTTGAAATATTTCCAAATGATTTCCTTCAAGAGAAATATTTTTGAAATGATTTCCTTTAAGAAAAATATTTTTAAAGGTATTTTTTTCAAAGAAAATCACTTTCAAAGTGATTTTCTTGTAGAAAATTGTCTTTATAACATTTTTTTTAAAGGAATTATGTCTAGATATATTAAATAATTTCTTTACCATCTAAAACTTCAAACTTTATTTAAACCCTTATCTTTATTATTACTATTAAACATTATTATATAAAAAAAGTAAAAAATTTTTTATAATTTTTATTACAATCAAATTATCTTGTGCGACGATAACAAAGATATGATATTTACTACAGTATGTGAGCACAGCAATTTAGAATAATTTAAAAAAAATTCAAATGCTGTGGTAATATAAAAAAAATTAACCAATGATGATAATTTGATTGGAAAAATTAGTATTCAAATAAATGCAACTTTGACAGATTTCTTTCATTTGAGTTCCTAAATTTTAATATATTTTATTAAATTTTCTTTTATATTTATAGTCGACCAATATTTTAAAAGCACATTAAAAATATTAGGTATAGAAAAGATACGTGATACATCTCATAACGCAAGTTGATAATTCTTTTAAAAAATATTTATATTTATGATTTCATAATTATGATAAAAATTATATATATATTTTAAAAACCGTATTTTATCGAATAAATATTTTAAAAACGCGACGTACGACGATCATTTTCAAAATTTGCACGAGCGTTTTATAATGCTTAATATAATTGCCTCAAAACTTTATCATATAGAGGTTTTAAATCACGTTCCGTTGTTATTTATATTTTTTCAACGAATTATTCATGCATTTTTGGATTGATTCAAATAAGAGAGGATGGTCTTGAAAACTAGGATAACTCCTTCGAATAAAGGGTTTCAATTCCTACATATAAAAATATAAATTTATATCAAATTAAATATTTAATTTAATTAAAAGTTCATAATTAAAAGTTCATATATTTCATTTTTACCTCGTCCCCAACAATTATTAACTTTCCGGTCTCTGGATTCAAGCATTCAATCGCGAGACTAGCATCTGAGACCAATAACTGTTAAAATGAAAGAGAATTAACATTCCATTTTTAGATTTTAACACACACAAAATATAACCAAATTTTTCACTTGCCTGGGTACCTTGAACGATTATCATAATATCGCACCCAGTCCAACTATCTTTCCACTCTTTTCTTATTTTATCCCAATCCCAAACCGTACCTCCAATGACAATAGGAATTTCATTAATTCCTTTCACCTTATCCAATGGTATATTTTTATTGATCAAATTAAAAATCTTTACTTGCTTAGGTACAGAAATTCCCTCCAACAATTTTTCAATGGCAGTTTTTGAAAATGCTGTTACCCCAGTTATATGATTCGTATTTTCACCTGTTGGTTTGTGTAAAGAGCTCAAATACCACGTGATAAATGGCGCAATTGTAGAACTCTGTAAATATAATCAATAAAATTATTAAAGCCAATAATTCCTTATAAACCAAAGCAATAATTATAATAATATTTACGGCTTGTCCCGAAATAATTTGTAGTCTCCCTTCCAATAATTCTCCTTTAGGCTGTCCTTCTTTCAGAGTTATAGGATTAGAACACCAATCATTTGTATTTTTCAAGAGGTTCTAAATTAATTTAATTAGAATAGGTATGATTGTATTTTGAATGAAAAATGAATACTGACCATAAACACCGAATTTGCGCCTCTATTGTCAATTTCACATAGAATTTCTAAAACTTTAAAATTAACATAACGTTCGTAAAGGAGATATGTCTTATCTTTATCTAGATTTAGTTTAACTGTCCCCTTTAGATAAACCTTTTGTTTTTGTAGATCAATGTTTTGAATACGAACTGATGTTGTAATTTTATCTAACTGTACAACTTGGTGGTCCATATGTTTCATATCTGGAAATCGAATAGCCTGCAGAATGCCCTATTTTTTTTAACACATAAAATTACTACAAATTTTTTATAAATAAATTGAAGTTAAAGCTATGATATTCACCTCGGGACTATCCTCAACAAGCAAAACTTGTTCATAATATTGATTGCTATTTAATTTAATTAATTTTTGTTTATTACTCAAAATACTGAATATCCATTCCTTTGATTTAATAGATTTTTCATATCGAATTTGAATTCCATCGACAATATCATTTCGTATGTAATCTCTCACCCTTTCAGACTTAATTTGTTCATAATCTGCTTTAGCTTCAAGCTGTTTGAAAAAATATAATTTACCCAAATAATGATTTTTAAAACTTTTAGTTTTAGTAAAAGTGAAAGTTGGTGTCTCAAATATTAATTTAGTAGCAATGTCGCAAGTTGATTCTTTAAGAAGCTCATAATAAGCATTTATAACTGCAGATCCAAATTGAATTCTTAACGAATGGGCATTATTAATCTGAAGTTTCGGGACTGCAGAATTCCATGAAGAATAAATATTATTTAAATCAATCTGTTTAATAGGGTATAAAGTATTTAGTAATTCTTGATCATGTAACTTTGGCTTCACCAGCTGTTCCCAAATATCAGTTAAGCGATAAAATCCGGGAACGCAAATTGCGACATTTTCTCTTATCGCTTGTTCTAAAACGACTAATCGTGGAATTTCTCGCCATTCATCTGGAAGTTCTGTAAGCTTATATTTATGATGCTTATGTGCTAATAATAACTTTGAATCTTCGAATAAATTAAATAAACAGCTCTTTGCCTTACGTTTAAGTTCTATTATATCTGTTTTAGTACTCTCAATAGATATTATATCTAATAATGAATCTTGAATATATTCCTTTTCTTTTTCAGAATAGACAAAGGCACAAGCTCTTAAGTCATGCTCTTTCAAGTATTTAAAACACTTTTCCAATAAATCAGTGAAATTATTCATAAGTTGGATGAATGCTTTGCGAGGTTCATTATTTGAAATTGACTTACATTGGATTTTCTTTTCGATTGCCTTTTCGTTATCGCTAGCATATAGACATATTCCCCATCCAAAAGGTCTTAACAATAAAGGATCCCAAGACATAGATATTAATAAATTATGATCTGTTCTTTGAGGAAAATTTGTAGTTGCTCCAACGAACTGGAGGATTTAAAAAAAGATTAACAAATTTATGATCTTGAATGTTAAAACGTAAATGCAATTCTACATACCTGAACATGCCAAGGTTTCATTTTCAAGTAAAAAGAGCTCTTCAGCTTCTCATCATATTTAATAATCTGTTTAACAGTCTTTTTATCAATCTTTGCTTGTTCATCAACATCATCCATATCTTCCAAATATTTTCCTAAATCTTCAATATCAACATCAACATCATCATCATCTTTAACCTTCATCATATCCTTCCCAGATTTCCAATCTCGTACAATTTTTTTCAATTGCTTGGCTTTACCATGTGATAAGTTTGGGATCATTGCAATGGTACCCTTGGCTTCTTCTCTACAATAATTTGTAAAGACGCAATTGTTACATCTTGAGTTATAATGCCAAGGTAAATTAGATGTTTTCATAATTCGTGGTAATATTTCACTAAAAAAATTTTCTATCTCCGGAAGTAAATCTTTTACACTAAATTCTTGTAAATCGAAAGATGATAAATAAATTCCATATGTATCTGAAACATTAAGTTCGGGGATGTCCTGAATAATTAAACTTAGAAGGTATACATAAAGAGCTACTTGAATCTAAAATGATTAAAATGAGGATAAAATGAATTAAAATTTTTTTTTATAATTAAAGAACGTCAAAATTTTACCTGATGAGAACGTTGTACCATTTTTGAAGATTTTGCGTCACATATCATCAAACTTTTTACATCACCACTTTCTTTAACTATTATGAAATCCGGTCTAAAATCTTTTATTTCAATAACACCCTTTAAATTGAACTTTATATAAAATGATTCATGAACTTTAAATGACATTTGATAAAATATTTGACCGACTTTAGCATCTCTTAGTAAATTGATATTAAAGTCATTTGACTCCTTTACACATTTTATTACATTTTCCTTATTTAATCTTTTTAATTCATTTACAATTTCGACTTCAAAATTTCTTCCACGTTGTTTTGTTGCGGCACGAAAAGTTAGGCCAACATACTCTGTGCATTCTTTTCATCGGAAGACTGCGTTGATTTAAGCTTTAACAATTTTTCGCAATCAAGAAAATAGTATTCTGATATATTAGATATCGATAGTGAGGCGACCCTTTCTTGAGAATCGTGAAGTTTGATTATATTTTTAGATTAAAATGTGGTAATAATATGTTAATTGATGAACATAAATAATTACATGTAAATTATTTTTAGTGAACGGAAAATATCATTCGCTCATATGGGGAAATTATTACAGTTCCCGCCAAAATCATTCTTAACTACGAATTTAAATTATTTTAAAAAACTTAAAAATAAAATCTTCCTATTTTTTTTAAGAAAAAGTGCGTTTTTGTCTTACCTCAAATAAATATTGGATTGAATACGTTCATTAAATACGAAGGAAATTTGGATTAGAATTTTCATCGAAAAAATTTTTTTAATTACTTAATTACCATTATTTCATTAATTTGGCTTTGCAATCAAACTTAAGTACAGCGGTGCTAGGCTGACCCATAATTCAGTCCCTACTATAAAGTGTAAATAATTCTTTTACAAATTAAGTGTGATTTCAAAAAAAAATGGTCCTAAAAATGTCATTGTTGTAATAGTTAGTTCAGTATGTTTGTTACTATTATTAGTTATATTTAGGAGGAAAATAGGTAAAAGAAATTTTTTAAAAAATAATTATAAAACAACTTGTATAAACAATAAGTTTAAAAAATTTTGAAATTCTTATTTAGTAACTTTTGATTAATACTGTCATTCTAGTTTAGTGCGTGAGATCGCTTTGCTACAATGCTTTAGTTCATTTAATTATTAAATTAACGGAATTCTACTTCACCTTTATAAATTGCCGTATTTAACACTTCTAGTATTTCCATCTTTAAAACACCTTTCTATTCATTAAATTATCTATCATAATTAACTATTTATTTTTTTCAAAAAAAAATAATTATATCAACAACTTATTTGAGTATCAACAATTTGAAAATTATTGCTTACTGAAATTTCTAATTTCTAAGTATAGTAGGACCATTTACAGCTTGAGAATACATGAAAGCTTGAATATAAATCAAAAAATGTTTTAGTGGGGAGAAAAAACGCTTTTTAATATTTGAAATGCTTCTATTGAATAAACGTAAACTAATAATTCAACATCAATTGGTAGAATAATTGAAATCATGTCAAATGTTATTTTCAGAATGTTTTTAAAAATATTTGCACACGATATCAGATTCACTTGTAAATTTCGAAATAATTTAGTTGATAAAAAAGAAAACTATTCCAACTAATAAATTTCGAACAGCGGAGATAGTTGAGCGAAAGTGATTCCCTCTCTTTTATACAAAATAAACAAAAGTATTATTACTCGATAGTATAATTGACTGGCAAAACCTCATTTAGCAAACGTCATTAGTCGAAACATTCAACGGATTTGTTTATAGTTTTGACTTTTGACAGGATTTTATAATGTTTCGAGTTTTCGACGGTTTTGCCAATAAGGTTCATCATAGTTTTGACCCCGTAGAAATCCGAGGGTTTTGCCAACTCGATATCAAATTCAATTTCATTCTTAAGTAATAAAGCTTTATTGCAGAATCAATTGTGTAAAAAATTGTTGGAATTATATTTCCTACTACAATTTTGAGGGGAAAATCCATTGCGTGTTTTAACTTAATTTTCTTGTCTGGTCATCTTTATTTTCATCGCACATATAAATGTGCAGAGTACGTTAAATAATTTACGACACGTGAAACAAATTTAAAGAGTAGAGCAACCTAAATTTTCTTAAAATAACTAAGCACAATTACGAATCATCAATTAATTCAATACGCCACTAAAAAGAAATATAATATTTTCATTCAGTGTATATAAATGGGTATTTTGAATAATATGTAAAAGTACTTACCATATTATTTTCATCATATCCATTTCCATGGCAGGAAACTTCTTGGGATCCATCACTAAATAACATGAGATGGCTATAAAGTGCTGGCTTATCGGTATTGTCATGAATTAAGCTGATTATATCACCATCCAACAAATAATCAGGGTCATCTTTAGAAGTGTTTGAACTAAAGCTTTGAACGAGCCAGTCATCGTCACGATTTCTACCATGCCAAATGGTAACTAATTGTTATTTTTAATTAATTAAAATCCAATATCTAATATTTATAACAATATTAATACCAACAAACATACCTTGTTGATGATTCATTATTGGGGTGCTTCCTAACCATTTGACATGAGAATGGAACATTCCTCCTGTCGCTTGATGTTTAAATTCGACAATGTATTAAAGGACACGGGACTTCCCGCGCTTACACTTGTACCATAAGCTTCAATGACAGTATAAACGTCATTTTTTATGTCTACTTCCTGTCCATTTCCAACAACCTTTGCAAGTTCATAATGAAGTATTACAATGTCAAGGTTTATGATATAACTAATAACAATTAAAAAAGAAATAGTGGTAAATACCATATATTGCTGACCGTTTTTACCCAAGTCATATTGGATTTTTTTTGTAGACAAATATTTTCCAGTGGGTAAATGAACAAGAGCGACCTTCGAGCCATATGTAATTTGTTTTTCTGAAAATCAATTTTCAAATAAAGTTGTCAATGTAAGCTTGCCTTAAATGTTCATGATGCGAAATTATAAAGAATCTTATAAAAAAATCTTCCTTCACTTCTTCGGCACATAGACGCCAGTTGAAATAGCGAACATTCTATTTTATAAAATGGTCATTAAATATATTTGTGATCTAAATTAACTATATTACCAAGATAAATCGTACCTGATTTTGCCATTAAATCCATCGGCTGTGTTGTAAGCACGTCCGATATACAACGGACCATCATTAAAGACAACTTTTTGCTTTTTAATGTTATGGATACTATAGGATCCGACCCATTCACCGTCTATGTAGAGATCTGCTCTCTTTTCAGGATCAGAAAGTGTATAAGCTACATGATACCATCTATCTAATAGAAGTTCGTCGCCGAGACCGCTAATTCCTGCAGTATAACTCCAGTTGCCCGTGAAGCAAGCCTGCAATGAGAATTTGTTTGGCATCAACTCGAGCCTAGGAGTACGGACTGAATCAATGGTACCTATAATGCATGTAAATTAAATATGAGACCGAGAATTTGGTGTTCTAAAAAATAACTTTTAGTCAAAAAATATCTCACTGGCCAAAGAAAAAAATTAGTCATACCTTTTGTGAAAATAGTAGCCCAGCTGGAAGTAAGTTTCTGAAGCTTTAGTCGTAATGTAACCGACAGCTCATCTTTCACCGCAGGCAAGTTACCATGTTCAAAGACTTGATGAGATTGATCATTAAAGATAATGGGGTCTGAAATAAGTTCTGCCCACTCTTTAACGATAAATTTCTTCATCTTCTGGTAGTAAATAATAATCAATTTGCCGAATGACGTTTTATTTCATTAATAAATAAATGCATTTTTAAAATTACATCGTTTTTGATTAACCTATGGTAATTTCTCATTTTTCGTTACTAAAAACCCAGCCCTCTTAAATACGAATTTTTATCACTTAAATGGTAAAGATCTTCATTTTGCCGTTTCTCCCAAGCTTTTCCTTTTTTGGTTAGAATATTTTTATTTTTTACAATTCAATCATTTATATTAATGAAATAATTACACGGCCGTATATGATCATGATACTTTGTCTGTTAAGTAATTTTTTACAGTGCGAGTTTATTTAAACTT